TTCCTTTTCTCTATAATCTATTATCCAAATTCCGTATGTCATCTTACTTTCTCCATTCTCCTTATGCCACATTTCGTTCTCCTTTGGATTCTCCATACTTGACACCTCATGTCCACTCTTCACTCCATTGTCCACTCTCTATACTCCATGCTTCCCACACCTTACTGAGTTCTCCCCTTCCTGTAGTCACCCCACACTTCATTCTCTGTATTCTACATTACATTATTCATTCTTCACAGTTCATTCTCCATTCTTCACACTTAATTCACCACTATCTCTTCTCTGCTCTCCATACTTCATATTCTCCATTTTCCTACTCTACTCTCTCTATTTCATCTTTCTCCATTCTTTTATCTCTGATTCTGTACTCCAGACATTTTTTTTACCATATTCTATACTCTGTTTTTGGTACTCCCCTTCATTTTCCTTCCCCTTACTTCATTCAGTATGCTCCATTCTCCATACTCCACACTTCACACACCGTATTCCACTCTCCTCCTCCAGTCTCCACTTTACAATCCACTCTCTATATTCTGTTATTCATTCTTCATTTTCCACAGTCCATTCTCCATTCTCCACCATTCATTCTACAACTATATTCTCAATATTCCATATTCTATTATTCATAATTTTCCATAGTTTGTACTCCCTTCTGAATATTCCAAGTCCTTTCACCAGTCTTCTATTGCTAATTCCATAATCCATACACCAATCTTGTTTTTTTTTTAACAGGGTCTACTATGTTACCAAGGTTGACCCCAAACACATGATTCTTCTGGCTCAGCCTTCTGAGTAGCTGATATTACAATATCCCAAACTTTACAAGCAACAGTGTAGTCTCCATACTCTATTCCACACACCACTCTCCATTTTCTATCTCCATACTCTATTCTTCATATTTCATTCTCCTCCATTCCTTATACTTTTTTCTCCATTCCTTATTGTCTCTATTCCACACACTGTTCTTCCTGTTCTATACCCCATGACCAATTCTCCATTTAACCATACTCTTTTCTCCATATTCTCTATTCCATTCTCCATACTCTACTCTCTGTCTCCACTTTGCATATTCTGTGCTATATTCTCCATATTTCCATTCTTCATATACCACTTTTCATCATTTATACTTCATGCTCTATTTTCCACATTCTGTCATCATTCTTAATTCTTTATATTCTATACAGCACTCTTCACATTCTATATTTTATTATCTATATTGTATTCTCAGTTCCTTACTCCAGAACCCAATCTCCATATTTCATGTGCCGTTTTCCATATTCCACACTACTTGCTTCAAACTCAACTCCCTGTGTTCTACACTTCATTCTTCATATTTCTTTCTCCAAACTCCACTCTCCATTCTTCATGCCCCACATTTTATATTCCGTACTCATACTCCACAATGTTCACTAATACATATCCCTGTTAGATTCTCCTTCCTCTTGTTTCTCATTTCTCTTTGGTTTTCAATGTTTCTTTGAGCCTTCCTTTTCCACTAATAACTTGGTTTTCTCCACTTCAGAGTGCATATCTCTCTCCAGCACATCCATTTATCTGCAAACTCATCTACTCACTCCATGATATTTTTGTCTTTCCCTCAACATCAGTCATAAAATCTCTGTGCTCCTTCAAAGGCCACCCAATCACTGGAGAGGAGTTCCAGGCCCTGCAACATTTTATTATTTAGGATCCTTTAATATGCCAATAGGCTGGCATTTTTCCATCCTGAGACAAGCAAATACACGCAGAGTCCCAGCTGACTTCTCACTGTCCGCATCGACTTTCTCTCCTCCCCTTCTCTCCCCAGCAGGCCTGCTCTTCCAGCCAAAGAGACTTCTGACCTTGTTCCATCCTTCCCATTGCTCGGGGCAGATCCTTGCTGCCGTGTTTGATTCCCTCTTTCTCTGATACTCCATGTTACATCTGTTGAAATGCAGGTATCTGGAGAGAGTCCCCCACACACCTCAACTGAGAATAAGAAGAGCTCTGGATGACACTAGAATCAGCATTAACTCGCCTTCAGACCTCCACCTTCCCTACACATTTGGCCACCATCTTAGCTCCCGGGATTATACACTGAGGTTCTCAGTGATCCTCCTTCTCCTGCCATGTCCCTCTGAAGTCCATGCTCCATGGAAAAAATGGGATGGAGGGCCTGTCCCTCTCTGCTCAGAGCCCAGCACAGCCCCTTGCCTCACTCAGAGTAAAGGCCCCACATGATTACTATGGCTGACAGAGATCCACAGGTAGACCCTGATGTGTCCTCTGACACTCTCCTGGTTGCACCTTTGTTCAATGTCCATGGAGGATTGATCTGGGGACTTCTGCAGACACCCAAATCCATGCTGCTTCATCCCTCATAAAAAATGTGGTATTTACCTGAACATACACACATCCCCCGGTATACTTCAAATCATCTCTAGGGTGCCCATAACACCCCCAAACAATGCAAATGCTACTCAAGCAGTTATTATGCTGTATTGTTTAGAGTATAATGACAAAGTTCCCATTTGCAATTTCTTGTTGATTGAATCTCAGATGTGTAACCCATGTGCATTAATCTGTGTTACACTACTATAACCAAATACTTGAGGCAGGCCAACTTTATGAAGAAAAGGGTCTTATATACCTCACAGTTTTGGAGGCTGTGCTTGGACCGTGTGTGTTGGTTGATGGGGGGTGCTGCTTGGCCCTTAGCTGTGTGCAGCCTCTGGTGAGCACCTTCCTGGAAGTGAGGAGGCTCCAGCTCCCACCCTCACTGGTGTTCTGTCTCTCCCAAGGCTGAAACACCTTGGAAAGTCAGGATTTCTGCTCTGGTGTCCTCGGGCCTATCGGCTCATTCTCTCCTGGACAGCTGCCGCCTCTTGCAGAAGCCCCTCCCCATCCTCCCTGGCCCACAGCAGAACTTGGCTCTGGAGCCCTGGTTGGAGGTTCCGTGTTCTGCCCGGTCCCTGCCACCTTGGGGGCCTCTTGCAGCCCAGTTTTGCAGCAGCCTGTGGGGACTTCCGGGTGCTCAGGCACCAGGCCCTAGGGTGGAACACCACCTCCCCTAGGTGGGTCTGTGGTACACTGAGGCCAGAGCAGGGCCCTGGGTGGGAGTCCAGACAGGACGGGGTGGGCAGCAGGGGCCCTGCAGACCTGGAGCCAGCCCAGGCCACCAGCCCTACAGCAAGCAGGCTGCAGTGGCCAGTCCCCGCCCTGACCAGGATGTGGTGTTCAGAGCCACGGCCTGCAGGACAGCTGAGCATAGGAAAGGGAAGGCCGAGGGGCATCAGGGACCAGGAGGGAGGAAGGACCCTCCCCCATGGTGCTGTTGCCCTCCTCACCTGGAGCCAGAGACAGCCACGAGGCAGGGGCCCACTTGCTCCTGCTCTGCCCCCAACTTCCTGGAATGGGAGAAGAGGGGCAGGGGACGAGGGAAGCGGTGGCCACTTACCCTCCTCAGTGATGGTGGGTGTGGGGATTGGCCACTGTGGGAAAGAGGCTGTTGCTGAAAATGGAAGAATGGGTTTAACCAGGAGAGTCCATGAGCTGCGGACCCTTGGGCTGGGCACGGGCTGCTGGGAGGGCTAGGCCTCCATCCTGCTCCCCTGGACAAAAGCCTCGTGTATTTTCAGGAGAAGTTGAATTTCCACTCATTTTACACCAGGGAAGATCTCACCGGTCCCCAACTCACAGGGGAAGAGCAGGATGACCCTGCCTGAAGCTCCAGCCTGGCTCAGCTCTGGCTCCAGGGGACTGTGTTCTCTCTGGTGGTGGTCAGGGCTCCAGTTCCTCCCCAGGCGGGGCTGCATGTTCCCACAGTCCACGGCAGGGCCCACGGGGCCAGCGGGGCCACCCAGCAGAGTGCAGGCTGCTCAGCCCGGCCCCCTGACTCTCCAGGAGCACGGCTGCCCGCGGACTCCCCTGACCTGGGAAGTCACTGGGATATGGGAGTCCCCACTGTGTTCAGTGGAAACTCCCTACAGGAATGAATGTAGGGACCTGAGCAAGAAACTTTCTATCAACCTGTCACCTGATTGTCACCCCCCAAGGCCTCTCTGCTCCACCCCTGTGTTATCCCAAAGCAACGCTTTACTTTGTTTTGTTGTGGTTTTTGTTTGCTGGTTGGTCGGTACCAGGAATTAAACCCCAGAGGTGATTGGCCACTGAGCCACACCCCAGGCTTTTTTATATTTTATTTAGAGATAGGGTCTCACTAATTTACTGAGGGTGGCTTTGAACTCACCATCTCCTGCCTCAGCCTCCCACGCTGTTGGGATCACAGGTGGGCGCACTGCCCCCCACTTACTTTTGTTTTATGTCATCTTTATTCCAACCTACATGAAGGTTTAATTAAAATAGAGAAATATGAAATTAAAGTTGGTGATGCAGTGGAATGATTTTGTATCCTGTGTAGGAACAGGACTCAAGTCCACTGGCACAGAATCAGCTCCCCCCCGTGTGTCAGCCTCGAGGTGAAGCCACTCACAGCAGTGACACGAAGCACATCTATGTAGGCTCTACCTGGATTCATTTAGAATGTGGACTCTCTCAATAGCCTCCCCTTCTAATATTCTTATTTAAAGTTTGGAAACCGTTCAGGGTGTGATTCACTGTTTATTGGTGTGGTGTAATTATACAAGCAGCGGGTCGCACTGTGGACTTCCGTGTCTGCGCGTGACACCATCGGTCAGCTTTACCGCCTGGTTCGCCCCTTGCCCTCCCCTCGTCCTCCACTCAACTCTCCCCTTCCATTTCCAGGAACCCCCGTTTCCCTCCAGCTTCCACTCAGCACCAGGTCCCGCAGCGCGGCCCCATGCGTCGCCGGCTCACGCATGATTTCCTTCTTTATGGCTGGGTGAGGCCCCGCAGCGACTCTGGACAACTTGACCCCTGCCCGTGGACAGGGAGGTTCATTTCTAACTGCAACCGGACAAGCGTGAACACACGGTGGGAAAGGTGGCCGGCCCCACACCAGGACACACTGACTCCCCCAGGCCTTCTCTTTTCTCCTCTAGATAAAACACCGGGTGGCAGCCGGGACAGTGACTGGAGGGACCATCAATGTCACAAACACAGCCAGGGACCCCAGGGCCCTGGCGTGGGCTCCCCCGTGACAGCCTCAGAGGTGAGTGACCTCATTCCCCCATGGCCATGCAGCTGCAGGGTGCAGCCCAGTGCAGGTGGCTTTGGGGAGTGGGCGTCAGCAGCATCCACTGCCCCTTGTGGCCCACCAGCCTGTTCTCCACCTCCTGGAGCCAGCTTGTCCCCTCAGAGGCTGATGGCCAGGTTGCTTTCCATGGCTGGTCTCAAGCTAGCCCAGCAAGGGAGAGGCCTCATGCCGCTGGTGGCCTGTGGCTTTGTGTCCGGCCTGTCACTCCAGGGGCCTCCCACTGTGACAGCAGTAGTGGGTTCTGTGTGCTCAGGGACAAGGTGTATCCGCTGCCATCCACAGAATGCCATTTTTTTTGGCAGAGCTGGGGATGGAAACCAGGGCCTTGTGCATGCCAGGTAAGTGCTCTACCACTGAGCCACATCCCCGGCTCTTTTTTTATTTTATTTTTTTTATTTTGAGACAGAGTCTCGCTAAGTTCCTGAAGCTGGCCTTGAACTTGAGATCCTCCTTCCTCAGCCTCCCGCGTCACTGGAATTACAGGTATGAGCCACCAAGCTCAGCAAACTTCTCTGTTTTAAAAGTAAAAGGAGTAGACTCTAAATAACAATTAAAAGTGCGTGGAGTGAACCTTAAGCCAGCAGTGGGGGTGTTTGTTTCCCAGGATCACACACCGTGTGACGACACATGCCACACTTTCGGGACTGGCTCCACAGTGGCTGTGTTCATGCCCACCAGCATCGAGCTACTAGGATGACTGTGACGTCACAGGGTGATGTGGATTTCATATATGCCACCCACCACTGTCCGGGATGTCATCGTGTGGCTTGTGCCCGCCCTGGCAAGCCTCACTTTTGGGGTCTGCTCTGTGCTGGTGGAAGTGAGGGGAGCCTGGTCCAGCCTGCCTTGCAGGGCAGAAGGGAGCACACTGGGCAGACGGTGAACCTCTGGCTTCCCTCACACAGGTCCACGTGGGTGACCAGGACGGCCCGACTTGAGTCCCCCAGCATGAAAGGGGTGGTGTCCACACTGCGGTCCCTCTCTTGTCTCTCCTGGGTGGAACACCGGTCTCCAGGGCCCTGGTTTCACTTAAGTCCCCCTTGGCAGCCCAGGTGCTGCAGCCATGCTGACCAGGGTGGTGGATCCCCTGAGCCAGGAATCCAGGGGCAGGAGAGATGCCGACTGATTTGGGGCCAAGGGAGAGGCAGGCATGTTCTGTAGCTGACTCGGAGCAGCGTCTGGGGTACAGATTCAGGCCGCTGACCCAGATCTGAGCCTGCAGCCGTGGAGCCTGGAGTGTGCTTGCCTGGGCCATGGGCAGCCCAAGGAGCTCACCAGGAGGGGGAGGGCCGAACACAGGGGCAGGTATTAGTGGGGGGGGGGCAGCAGGAAGGCAGGGAAGGAGCAGCCATGGATGTGGCATCCGGGGTCCTTGGTGCCCCTCTCGGGGATCAGGGGCTGGAGGGCGGGGAGTCGGTGTTGAAGGTTTCCAGTCTGGGAGATGTGACGCTCTGGAGCGGGTGACAGCCGCGCAGTCTTGGAGTGAGCTTGGAAACCTAGTGATGGCAAGTTTCATGTCCTGTCTGTTTTACCACAATAACAAAGTAGTAAATCCATTTGTTTCTTAATCCACTTCTGGACTACTATGCAGAAACTTGGCCCTGACCAGAATACTCACTGTGTGTAGTTAGAAAAGCTTATCATTGTTTAACAAATGGGAAAGTTGTTTATTCTGCCCTGCTCTGGGAAATCCTTGGTGTCTTTGAAATGCTCTCGTCCGTTGTTTAAAAGTGGAGACTGTGCACCAGGAGTGCCTGGGCCACGTGCCTCTGCGAGGTTCCATTTGGTGATAAAGACCCAATCTCGCCTCCTTGTCTCCCCAGGCAAGCGGTGGGCAGGTGGCCATTGTCCACCAGCACCCTTGGCCCTTTATGAATGGTCCATGGCTGCTCCTGAAGGCCTGGGTGAGCCGTCAAGCAGGGACCCCAGGCCACGGTGCCAGAGCTGCAGCACTCCCGCTCCGACCCTCTACGGGGAAGGTTCGTGCCCCGAGGTCCGCGGATCTGAAACCACTTGGCCCATCGTCCACTTGAAGCTCTAAATTCTCCTCCTCTACTTCACCACTAAAACTCACTGTAATGAAGCCAAATAAAATTAATTTTAAAAATCAGGACATTTGATCTAAAGGGAAATGCCCTGGGATCTGGGCCAAGTGTAAGATCGTGGCGGTCTGCTGAAGGGAGATGGCGTGGCGTGGGGACAGGGCAGGTCCAGACACTGAGACACCTAGGAGGGCTCAGGAGATAACTGGGCACCTGGGAAGAGGTCAGGGGAGGGACTGACTGCCGGGTCAGCCTGGGAGTCACCCACCCGCCCTGGAAGGGACTGTCCAGGGAGCAGCGAGTGTCTGGGTGGGTGCCGCGGAGCCAGAGGCCATGACGGAGCCACCTCACGGACTCCAGGGACCCCAGAGAACTACCCTGGGGAGGCTGAAGCCATCCGATGTGGGTCTGGAGAAGCAGGAGAGGTCTCCTCCCTGGGAGCTCTGCTCTGAAGGGAGCCAGATGGCTGGCAGGGCCAAGTGAACAGGCCCAGGGAGCTGACCCCCACCCTGTGAGGAGGAGGGGTCTGTGTGGACGTGGCAGAGTGAAGGGTCTGAGGTGGGGAGATGGTGCTGGGGTTTCTGGGCGGGTCCTTAGGAGTGGGAGACAATTGCAGAGGACACACTGCCATGTGGCTGAGGCAGGAGCCACATGGACAAGCCCAGGAGGCCTGGAGTCCCCAGGAGCCCTTCCAACATGCTGTCCACTCCATGGCCCGCCCCAACCCCGGCTCCCACAGACACTACTGCTCTGGACCCCTGGAAGCAGGACCCCATGTGGCTCATAAGTCAGTGTGAAGGCCCTGAGGCCACCAAGCCAGCCCAGGACCGTTTGGTCAGGAAGAGAAGGCGAGGGGCTGCTCCGTTATGGACAGGAAGCAGCCACACTTAGGGCCACCTCACCCCTCTGCCCCCGAGAACCCTGCACCAAGCAGTCCATCCAGACTTGCCCAGACCCAGAGACCACACTAGAGCTCATCCCCAATCCGGGGTCCCCAGGGACACGTGGAGGCAAGCCTCTCATCCCACCGCCACACGACCCCATGTCAGGACAGCAAGGATCTGGAGCCCTCATGCACCTGGCACGGGGTGAGAAACCAAGGCCAGAGGCACTGTTTCCAGGGACCTTTCCTGCTCCCGGGGACAGAGCTCGGGCTGCACGACAGGCCTCCCGCGGTCAGGAGTGGTCAGGCAGGAAGGGGCCGAGGCCCCTGGGTCCTCTGTGGGATGTCCCATTGCCCGAGGGAGGCCAGACCACCTCACCTCCCTCTCCACGTGAGCCCTCCATCCCACAGAGGACCCCTTTCCCACCCCACAGCTCTGTGCGCAGGCCCTGTCCTACACCACACCCTGGACCAGTGCACCTCCCAGGCCACACTGACCCTTTCAGAGCCTTCTCTGCTCAGCCCCAGCCAGACTGGAAGACCGCCCAAGACCCGCCCTCACTAGGCACGCACAGCTGACCCCTGGTGCCTACCCACAAACACCCTTTCCCCTCACTCACTCCCAGGCCTCCCTGGCAGCTGCCCGACCCAGCTCCTTGGGGCCCCACCCAGGCCACCCTCTTACCTGGCAATCGGAACCCACAGATGCCCAGACTGGCCCTCAGGCCTGGTGTCAGGGACTCCTGCCACAGCCAGGGCTGACCTCCCGGAGCCAAGCCTGCCAGGACCTCCCATGACTTGGATGCTTCTTCCCGCAGGGAGCTCAGCAGAGAACAGGGCCTTGGGTAGGTGTTGTCGTTAGGAACCCTCGCTCCGCCCCCAAGGGGCGTCTCCAGGCCCTGGGCTCTGGTTCCTGGGGAAGCGACAGCATGGATTTTGAAATCCTTTTGAAAATGTTTTTCCTTTGTTTTGTTTTATTTAGAAATTTCCCAAATTTTTACCAAGTTAAAGAGACAACCACAAGAATGTGTAGCCTGGATGGACGACTGGCATAAACAACCCCTCCCCCACTGCCCAGCCACCCCGAAACCACGGCCCCCCAACTCAGCAGCAAAAAATGCCAAACACGAACAGGCAAAAAGGCAGCGACATGGACAGTGTGCGGCGGGGGGCACGGAAAACACTCCATGACCAAGGGCACACACACATGTGCACACATGTGCAACACATGCCTGCACACACACACACACACACACTTGCATGTAACTTTGCACACACGTATGGTTGAAGTGCATATGTGTGCAAGCTCATGTGTGCAGGGTGTACACCCCACAGGCACCTTGCACACGCACCACTCATGCTTGCAGACACGCTTGGCTGAGGCAGAGGAGCCTGGTGAGGGCAGGCTGTTGGGTCCACCCCTCACAGTGTCCCTCTCGGTCATCCCTTGGCCTCTCTTGGCCTGCTTCCTCTTCACCTGCCCCACCTCCCAACGTCCTTTGGAGGATACAGTAGGACAGTGGTGGCAGGATCTGCATGTCATCCCACATAACCACAGAGGATGGGGACGCATCTCCATATTCCTAAGAGGTCCTGGGACCCTGGGGCTGCTCCAAGGTGGGCACCCCTGAGCCATAGCAATACCATTCTAGACAGAGCCTGGGCTTCAGAATGTGAAGGATTCCTTCCCAGAGACCCCTGGGATTGGAGGAGCCTTGCAATGGTCAGTGGATATGCAGGGATGGCCCAAGGATGGGCCACAAGGCCTGCCTTTAGAGCCACCCAGCTGTGCCTTGAGCCTGCCCGTCCCCAGAACTGTTTCTCCTACCAGAAGAAGCCTGGCCAAATGAACTCCCCCAAAAGTCAAAAGTCAGAGGACAAATATCCCCACTGGCCTTGGGGTCCTCCCCTAGAGATGGTCCTCCTTAGTCTGGGACACTCCATTTCAAGAAAACAGGTTGGCATTGGAACCTAGGACTGCCTGCCCTGCTCACCCAGCTCTGACAGCTCTGCACCCCAGGGGCACCGCCCACAGAAAGCCCTGCCAGCCACGGGGGATGCCCTGCACACCCCCAGGGGGACCCCCCTGAAGGGGACTTTCTGGACCCTGGGGAGGCTCTAGGGGCTAAGAGGGTCTCCGAGTCCCAGGAATGTCACATCCAGGAGGATGGCCTCTCGTGCTCTGCGAAAGACAGTCTTGGCTTGGGGAATTTTGCTGGCACAGAGACAGGAAGGAGAGGATCTTGGCTTTCCAAAATGTTTACTACATCAGGAAATTAATTCACTACGCACGGGCTTCAGTGACGATAATAAAAACACTCGCGCTGGCTCAGGACGAATGGAGTCTGACCATCCCAGAGCTCCCTACTTTCAGGGGAGCCTAGGAAGACTCAGGCGGGCTGGGGTCACAGACCCTCCCCTCCCTGCCCGTGGCCACCCACATTGCTGGGGCAGGGAGGGGTGCACGCTTGTCTTCACGGGTACCCGACTGAGAGGGCGGCCTCAGGACTGTGCCCAGGAGGATGGAGAAGTGCTGGCCGGGGCGGGTGCTGACCTGACTGCTGCCGGCCATCACGGCTCCCCCCACACTAGCCGGACTGGTCCAGACCAGGGCCGCAGGAGGTCAGGGCACTTGTGTAGGCTCTGGGCAGCTCTAGACCAAGCTGGGACGCAGATGCTGATGGGGAGAAGAGAAGGGACCTGAGTAGGGAGGGATGTGCCAGGGAGGGCCCCCCACAGGCTCCCCGCCTCTCTTTGCTGGCAGAAGCTGCTGCCAGAGCCCAGGACCCAGCTTCCAGCCCCGGCTGCGCAGGCTCCAGCAGGAAGGCCCGGGCTGTTACCTCATCACGGGGCAGAGCCCCAGGAGAAAGGAACTCGGGGAGGCCCTGGGCCCCCACTCCCTCCCCTGCTCTCCCACCCCCTCCAGCCTAACAAGCAACCCCCCGGTGCACCCTGCCCGGGTCCCCTCATCCATGAGCCTGCAGTTCTTTGATGACACTCCCCCCAGCCACTGTGGCCTTCTCTGGCAGCATGTGCCCTGTGCCCATGGGGGCTCTCACCCTACATGTCCACAGCAGGCCTGCAAAGGACAGCCCTTCCTGGAGTTCAAAGCCCCAAAGAGGAGTGCCCAGCCCCAGCCAGCTGCCCAGTCCCATGTGCTTGGCTGAGCTCCCTGGGTTCAGGTTTTGGGGAACATTTAGCCATAGGCTAGAGGTCCATTTCAAAGGGCTCTTTTACTTCTGGATGCCCAGTGGCCACTGAGTGGGAGTTTGGGCGAGAAGTTCTGGGGGTCAGTAACAAGTGAGTCCTAGGGGACCCCTCCCTCTGGGTTAGGTCTCTGGGCTGTCATGGAGGTCAGAGGCTGGAAGGAGAAGAAGCTAGAGGATGGTGCCCTGCAGACTCACGGTGGCCAGGGCAGCTGGGTTAGGATGACCTGAGAGGCTGAGGAGGCTGGGTCCAAGAGAGGGGCTCAGGCCAGATCCAGGAGTGCAAGCTGCTCACCCTTCCAGGCTCAGGGCCACTGGTGGCCCTAGGGAGCAAGTTCTGATGCTGTTCAACACCTCGCACCAGAGAAGCCCTCTTCGTTCGGGCCCAGAGGGGGTCTGCCATGGAACTAGGACTGGTGCCCCAGCACTCACCTCCTGCCACCTTTGTGTCCACCCTAGCATTAGTTAGCCATGCCAGACTCCCTTCGGGTTTCCCCAAATCTCAGCACCTCTCTCTCCTCTGTCCCCTCACCTGGATTGCTCCTCTGTCCGCAGAACAAACCCCACATGAGCAATTGTACAGATGCTGCTTGGGACTGAAGGGTGTCGCTTCGCCTCGGAGGTCCTTAGATCAGATCGGGGGAGGAGAGGCCTTCACTGCCGTCTTTCTCTGCAGCAGCCCTCACGACAATCCTGGGAACCCATTTTACAGAGACGACCTTTATCGTACTTTTCCAGGCCTTGCAGAGCCTAAGAGACCCTTTGCCACATGCCATCACTGGGCTCAGCCCCTTGGAGTGCCTGTGTGCTGGCGTCATCTCCAGTATGGAAAACAGAAAGTCCCAAAGGGACAGTCCTTATGTCCTGATCCTGGTCTCAGACATGACTGCTAATGGCTCAGAATCTACAAGTCATAGATGCAGGAGGGAAATAAAGGCAGCATTGCATTTCACGGCAAAGGGACTTACTGAAGTTTTCT